CAGAAATAAAAGGGCAGTGCTGAGGGGATGAAGGAGCAGCTCTGGATGGATGAAGGAGCAGCTCTGGGGGAATGAAGGAGCAACTGTGGAGGGTGAAGGAGCAGCTCTGGAGAGATGATGGAGCAGCTCTGCAGGAATGAAGGAGCAGCTGTGGAGGGATGAAGAAGCAGCTGTGGAGGGATGAAGGAGCAGCTGTGGAGGGATGAAGGAGCAGCTCCTCCCCGCCAAACCGGGATGCAGATTCCGTGCTCAGTAGGTGGCACTCTGTTTCTGGAGTCAGCCCCGAGCCTCGGGACAGTGTTAGGCTGGCTTTGGGTTTGGTTTGAGAGAGCTGTGGTCATTCAGGAGCCATTCTTGGGAGGTCAGCACGGCTGGCCTCGCCATGGGAGCCAAATTCCAGGGCTGGGGGAATCTCCTGACATTTCCAGACAGGTTTGGTTTTATTTGTGCTTCACCTTGAGGCGGCACCTCGCTCCAGTCTAGAGCTGTGAGCAYCCAAAAACCTTCGTGAATTCGGAGGTGAGGCTGCTCAAGGGCATTTTCTCCAGACTGTGCAAACACCACAAAAGTTCAGCAGCCACAAACGTGCCCTGCTCAGGGACAGGGTTTGGGGGCTGTTGTGACCCAGTGATGCTCCTGTACCTCTGACCCCTTGGGTTCACTGCCTTCTCTCCGATTCCACATATTCCCTCTCCTGGGTTCAGGCACTGGAACTGCCCACACTGCACCACGGAATGGTTTTGGAAAARGAAGTGTCATTTGATTGTAAAAAATGACTTCCAAAAACAATATTGCTGGCCTRCTGTTCCTAGACAGAATAGAGGAAGAAGGTCCAACATCCCAGACCCGCAAAGCAACACCTACAAAATGTGCAGGCTGTCACATCAGCTGAGTGACACAGCAGTGCTGCAGGAGCACAGATTCCTGAAATGTCTGTGCCACACTAATTCTCAGACACATTCCGTTTAAATAATAGATCAGGAATTAAGAGATCCGAGGTTGTGGCATGTGTTGAAATGCGATTTTTAGATCCAGGGAGCGTGCAGAGGGTAGGATGGAGTATAAAAACTATGAACAAGATATCTGGTTTATTTAGTGCTGCCTGCTCCCTGTGCTCTGAGCTGCTCAGTTGCACTGAGTCAACTGTAATAAAACAATACATTCGTATTTATTAATTTTTTATGCAGGCTTTTGGAAAGAGGAAGAGAAGTGAGAAGGAGGCAGGATGTCAGAAGGAGACGTCCGACAGATGCATCCCTGTCAGGCTCTTTTGCAGGACATAYAAATGGCTTGGGATCTGGTTAGACTCAAAAATCAAACTCAAAAATCGCTCAGCCCCAGACTTCTGTGGGCAAATCCTCACTTTGCCACATGGGATCCACACAGGGATAATAACTCTGCCTCTCCCGGGCTCGGCCAATTCCATCACTGTCAGCCCTGTGGAATCCCCGGGTGAAAGGAACAGCAGAAATGCAGAAAACACRGGTTATTAATAGCCGGCGCTTGCCCTCCCGTACATCACACGCGCCGTTAGTCACCGTGGCCAGTAATTTACGGGGAGGGGAACGACGTTCCTGGGAGCAAACGCAAAATGACACTCAGATGGTATCAGCCCTCGGAGGTGTTGCGGGCCCGAGAGTCTCATTAAGTCTAAATTCASTGATGCCACCCTGAGCACATCGTGCTTCATGTGTGGGTGAAATGAAAATGTGCAGGAGCTGGGGAAACCTTCRCAGGGAGATCAGAAGTTGCCAGCAGCTCGCTCGGGAAAGGCGGGTGCTGGAGTTGGTGCACAGATCGAGTTCTTGGGGGTTCTCAGCTTTTTCTGCCTCCTTCATGAAGCCTGAAGGTTATCTACTCCCTGACACCTTTATTTGAGGGATCACAGGTTGCAAAAGTTTCCCTCCTGTGGTTTTAGGTGATGACAGTAGCCTGGGGTGAGTAACGCAGCCCTGAGCAGGGCTGTGCAGTAGGGAACACGCCACGGTGGGGTCAGCTCTCACCTCTCCTGCCCACAATGCCTAAATCCAGCTACCTAACACAGATGCCAGACAAAATTCAGAGAATAATTCTATTTATTGAAGGGGCTTTCTATTTATTGCAGGGCCTTCAGGGCCATCCAGGGCAGTCCCAGCCCACCCAGGGGTGCACCCACAATGGACAATGGCTCACGGGTTTTTCACCCTTTCTCCCTTTTGTCCATTTGCACATCGGGGCTGAATCCTCCAATTGCAGCTGCTGCCAATGCAGTCATTGACTCCAAATTGGCTCCCCCAATTCTCTGCTGTTTCCATCTCTTGGGGCCTGGCACAGTGAGGTGTACTTGAGTTTGGGGCTGCAGAGGAATTGTTTTGTGTAAAAATAGGAGAGCAGGAGCTGGGAACTGTTTGTGGAGCCTGGAGTTATCCATTGAGGAATCACAGGGTTACAGAGACATGGAAATAGAAAAATTGAAATCCTGAGGCATCACCCTCATTCTGCAGGGGCAGCTCGGSAGCAGCCTGAGGGGCAGGGAAGAGCTGCAGGAGCTGGGAGAGCAGGAATTGCTGGAAATTGGGTGTGGGACAGCTGACCACACTGGACAGGGAGAGGCAGTCAGAAAAAGCATTTCCCTGGGCTTGTGTGCGTGGGAAACACCTTCCCTGAACTGGGAGCTGTCTTGCAGTGTCCCCAGGTAYCACTGAGTGTAGGAATCACCACCCAGCCCAAAAAAGAGGCACAAAACYGCCAAGATCTTGGAAGAAATGCACTCACCTTCCCCTCTCCGCCAGCCTGGCCGTGCCAGGCTCATGCCATTAATTTGAAACTTGGGCAAACTCGTTCTGTTTGTGCCCGTCTCCTTGTGTATTCCCTGAGGCACCCAAAAGAYGGCTGGGAGGTTATTTATTTTCGGTAATAATGCCCGCACCGCTTCCAGACTTCCTGCCCTTGTGCGATTATCCAGATTAATTGCCCGGGAAAGCTGCAGCATCATCTCAGGCTCTTATTAAGGAAGCTCGGAGCAGGGATTGATATTAATGAGCGCTGCCGGGTGCCAGGGCCTCATTCCTGGAAGAGGGTGGACAAACCCCACTGCTGAGGGAAGGGTTCCTGGGACCCCCAGGGCCAGGCAGAGAGAGCCCAGGGCGCTTTTGGAAAGCTCATTCGGGAATAATTTTGCTTTATTGTGAAATCAGCTCCCATCAKCTCTGCTGAATGATTGTGAGAATTGCTGGGGCGCTGACCCCAGCCGCACACAGGCAGGAGCTGGAATCTTAAAGATGCTTTTAGGTGCTTTAAAGGGTTCTTAACAGGGAGAGAAGGCTTTTAAGGCGTATTCTGCCCTTTTTGGTTTCTCCGCTGAGAGTTCAGCAGACCTTGCTCGGGCCAGTCCAGGTTCCACCAGACCAAGGTGGAGCTCGAGRGTCTGCAAAGCAAATCCAGCTGCCCTGAAACATCAGGAATTTGGGTGTGGAGTGTTAGACAGGGGGCCAGCACCTTCATGGCCTTCAGCAGCCCCACAGCTCCCTGTGATCAATCAGGGCA